ACTGGTATATAGGCTTGACCAAGAATGATTGACTGACTGACTAGATGACTGGCTGACAGACTGGCTGAATGACTGACTAACTGACTAGCTGTCTGTCTGGCTGACTGTCTAGCTGTCTGCCTGACGGTCTGGCTAACGGTCTGGCTGACGGTCTGGCTGACTTCCTGGCCGTCTGGCTGACTGACTGGCTGAATGACTGACTTACTGACTGGCTGTCTGTCTGGCTGACTGTCTAGCTGTCTGGCTGACGGTCTGACTGACTGCCTTGCCGTCTGGCTGACTGACTGGCTGAATGACTGGCTGAATGGCTGACTTACTGACTGGCTGTCTGTCTGGCTGACTGTCTGGCTGAATGACTGGCTGAATGACTGACTTACTGACTGGCTGTCTGTCTGGCTGACGGTCTGGCTGACTGTCTAGCTGTCTGGCTGACTGACTGGCTGAATGACTGGCCGTCTGGCTGACTTACTGACTGGCTGTCTGTCTGGCTGACTGTCTAGCTGTCTGGCTGACGGTCTGGCTGACTGTCTGGCTGACGGTCTGGCTGACTGCCTGGCCGTCTGGCTGACTGACTGGCTGAATGACTGGCTGAATGACTGACTTACTGACTGGCTCTCTGTCTGGCTGACTGTCTAGCTGCCTGGCTGACGGTCTGGCTGACTGCTTGGCCGTCTGGCTGACTGACTGGCTGACCGGCTGCTTGGTTCGTAACAATATCACTTAATTTCAGGAACCTGCAGATGTAGAATCATGAAGCAGGACATCGCTGAATCATTGGAAGCATTTCATCGTAATTTTTCTCAAACATATCATCGGCTGCGTGAAAGACAAATACAACAACTACAACAGACAAAGGAAAGCAGGCGGGCAATTTCCAAGGAAACGAGCACATCATATGACAGCGACGAGGTTCTTGCAATAATGTATTAATTCGGAGTAATGAATTCTCGCTATTTTAATCATAAGAGCGTGGAAAATAAATGTTTGACTGTGCAAAACAGTATCACGTCCGAAAAGAGATCCAAAAGTCTCCCTCTGCCAGAGCTTATCCTGTTTTCTGTAGCATATAGAAGCGGCTAGGAGTATTTATACATCCTCTGGATGGCGTGTTAGTCCCCCGATTGTGACAATACTCCCTACTATTTTGTCAGGATTACCGCTATAGTTCACTATTCTAGAGTGGAGAGGTACACTATGTGTGTTAAGTTGCTTGCCTCGGAACACAAAACAAAAACGATAATCGGCTATGGTCTGGATTTCCTTCTGGATCCGGATTGTAAAATCCTCAGAACTGGGACAAAGCACCTCCCACATTATTCACATCATGTAAACATTATCGAAAACGCACGCGCAAAAACATATTTTGGTCCTGTTTAAGTTTATTTATGCAGAGATGAGTAAAGGTCATTGACAAAAAGTTAGAATAAACGTCTCAAAGCATTAAAACTGTCAAGCTTAAAAAAAAGTTGAGAATGGAATTTGTTTAAAATAGAATGTAAAAAAATCGCGTTATGTTAAAAATTTTTACTTAACGTTTTTAATGAATAACAATAACACTTCTCATGGTACGTTTCAACGTTGGATTGAAGATGGAATTTCACTATTTCTCAGTTTCGTTATCTTACATTTGTACTGTAAGATGTAGATTTACGATTACTTTAAAACAGCGTCTGCTTCTTCGACAAGAAACGTACTTCGCACTCTATCGTGTTTGGTCAACCAATCATATCAAAGATAGACAAGGTAGGTTGAAGTAACCAATCATGTCTCTGGTAACATTTAAGGAGTGGTGGAGTAAATTTGATCGACCAATCGTAGTATGTGAGACAAAGGCAGAAAAATTGAATTGACCAATCTCGTCACTCATAATATGCAAGGCACTGTCAGGTGATCTGAATTGACCAACCTTGTCGTTCGTGAGTTTTAGCACGGAGGAAGGTGATCTGAAATAAGCAACAGTGTCGCTCGGGATATACGAGAAAAGCAGAAACATTGAATTTATAGCAAGCCCAGTTCTCAAATTTCCCAATCGAAGAGATCATTTTTTAAGAGCTTTCAAAAAAAAATAATCATCATCTAAAAAGATTAAAAAATCATTAAATCCTACAGTTTATCATTCAGTAAGAATAGGCTCCTTTCTCAAAGGCATCACTCTTGTAGGACCAGGTGACCGCGTTTTGAGTGACGCATGCCTCTTCAAACTAGCGGCATCTAACATTGCGGCGAGGTCTGGTAACGAGCTTGACCGACGACGACTCTTCTGAAACGTTGTAGTATTTATTGGTGTCTGCGGTTTCGACCCATCTTGAAGTTGTGATCCATCTTTGCGTATACCAAATTGCTTTCTGAACCATCTCTTGGATAAAGGGCTTATTGGCACTTTGAGACTTCCGAGTTTATCCATTTCCTTTAACGATTGGATGTTGGCGTTGCAATCTGGTGGTCCTGTATTTTCGTTCCTCTTTCCCTCTCTCTCTGGTTTTAATGACAGGTCTGGTGGTCTGTTCTTTTTCGTTTCCATTGATTAACGTTGGTCTATTTAATAGGAAAAAGAAAAATGTCTCAACTTCCGTATATGAGACTTGCTGGTATGGATGTTGGAGCTTTTCTGAGTTTCTACAGCACGAAGAAACCACAATTACTGCTTCGTCGACTGATCGCGACGCTAGTTCCTAACAGGTACCTCTCCCCACATTCGCAATTCTTAAAGTTATTCTGAACGTTTGCCAGAGCCTATTTATTCTCCTGCGTGGAGAGAGGGACTGTGAGGGCAAAGTGTCTTCTCCACAACACAACACAACACAACACAACACAACACAACACAACACAAGGACCTTGAAACGGTTCGAGCCCAATCAAAGTGTCTCCCTTACAATTAAGAAAGCCAATGGTGAAACAGCAATACGTGAAAATCCAGCCAAATTGGAACCTGACGCATGCACTTCGATCTCATGTGCGTCGGTTACTATGCAAAGCGCCTCGTTCCATGAAAAACTGTGCCAAATCTTCGTCGTTTTTTGGCCGCAATGAATTTCCATCAATCCTTTTCAATTATAGCTCGGAAAGATATTATTACCAAATAACAAACGTTTTGATGAAGGTGTATGGAGTTTTTAAAATGAGAATTTTTTTGTCCCTAGAAAAGCAACAAAATAAAAACAGTTTATTTGAAATTTTCAACACTTCAGTATTTCCCAGCTCTTTTTTTTTTTTTCTTTTGCATAGAGACATTTAGGCATTAACTTTTTTTTACCCAAGAGTGCAAACGCTTCTCAGGTATTTTGAACATGTCACGAAGCTTATACAGGTATGACTCTCAAATACAGCCGATGTGGGGGGAGGGGAGGGAGGCGATTTGTCTGTTTGGCCTGTGGTGCCAGGTGAGAAGCTACGCGCTGTTTGAATAATTCTTATCGCATTATGGAGTAATATTTCTAGGCCTTATCGAATATAAAGTCAAGTTACCGATCAAAACATTCGCGTTTGTTGAAATAAAATGGAGAGAATTTATAAATGCCTTGAGCCAGATATAAAATCATAAAATATATATAAAATCACGTTTGTGATGAGACAAAAGGAAAGAAGTGAACTTTAGCAGCCTGCAGTTGAACAGGGCGTAAATTCATTGATATGGAAACGTGTTTGTTATTAAAAGATGTTTTCAATATTTTCTGTTGGATTTATGAGGATTCGAAGACTCGTAAGTTTAGACACATTTTGCCATTTGCGTTCGTGGACTTTTCAAAGATCTGTCAAATTGTCTATTAAGATTTTTAATTTTTTTCCGGGACGCAATTCCTTTATAATTGAAACTTAAAGAGCAATAAAAATCGTAACACTGGTAAAACAGCTTTAGTTTCGGTTTCACTGTAAATCTCAGCGCTATTTAACGTCGGGATTTCAACAGAAGATAATTCTGGACCTCCGATACAGGTGTAGAAAAATTTTGACTCAGCGACAGCGCTCTTTCCAACATAAAAGTCAATGCAATCTTGCTCCAAAAACATAAACTAGCAAATAGGATGTTTTAAACCGAAACAAATGACGAACTGATGTGTAGATGTTTAAGCTAGCCCGCTGAGTTATTTGTTATGCTTATCTAGCCTATGCTCTGAAGCGACAAGTGACTTGCTCAAAGTACATAAAAGAATGTTCTTGAGCAAGAATTCGAGAATTATGATCAAAGATTCGAGAACCCGTGCATCGCTAGAAACTATTTTGCATCATAGAGAAAAACCACAAAATGTATTTCCGCATTTTTGTTACAGAACTTATCTCAATAGCACTGCACCATATAAATTAAGATGTTGTTAAAAACGTAGATCTGATAGACTAAACAGGTCAGTAGTCATTGTAAATGAATTATCACCCAACTTTATGTAGGCACGTAAAGCTTTTGAATTTAACCAAAACAAATACAGTGGCGCTGATGAAAGGAAGCGGTGAAAATTTAACCTCTCTCAAATAATATAGATTCGGTGTTATCTTACCCTACTGTGAAGAGAAACAAAGATCTTGGTTTAAAAGAATACTCATGATCACGTTCTCCCCAGAGAGAACCGTGCGGTGCCTTGAGTGAAGTAAAACATGTACATCTGGAAACCGAAGAGCGAGTCAGAAAATGCGAAAAGTGAAATAAATTTGCATATAGGTGGTTTTCGAGCGACCTGCCATGAACAAAGGCAAACGAAACTTTCATTCAACTCATCATCGATCGTATATGTCAAAAAGACAGGATTGAAAATCGTTATTACCTTTGATCTGACATACCTTCTAGTGTACAGATTTTCAAAACATCTAAAGCACAAAATGAAACGTGCGAAATGTATTGAAATCATTTCGATCGGCAGTGTCTGGAAAACGAGGGACTCTGGTAACGCTTATTTTACGAATTTGTTTCAAAATAAAGTATAAAATACAAACAAATGCTTCACATTCAGCGCAAAGCGAGCTCACTGATATTTGTAAAACGCGAACAGTTCTCCCAAGTACAGTGTACGACTGTGAACCCAATTCTCTATCTCGGATTCGCCGAAAACATGGTTTGTAAAAAAATGCATAATTGGTGAATTGTACACAAAATTACTTTTCGCCAATATGTTAACACTTACCTTCTAGGTTATGAAAAAAAAAGTGATTGATATTAGCTACTAAAAGCCAACAGATGTGATGTTTTTGAAAAGATGACCACTGATTAAAAGGAATTATAACCGCAAAATACAAAACGCTGACTTCGTGGCTTCGGGGCATGTTTATTGTTTTTACGAAAACTGCCGAGTTGTGACGGAGATTTTGAAAGGTCAATGGGGATTCATTCACGCTGTTTTGAACTGACATCAACATTGCATTGACTCAGAGTGAAATACACTTTTTGCTAAGTAAACATTTCAATTATTTCGTTTTCACAGGGTTCAATCGTAATTAACATCTCTCATGACTTTATCAACAACGTTAAAGTATTTCCTTTTGTAGATCTAACATTTTTCCATACTGGAATCGTAAAACGAGAGTAAGAAAATGTAGGGAAGTAGTCCACTTTATTTCAAGTCTTAGTTTGTACTAGAACAGTCTCAAAATTCATGGAAAATACAAATACACCGTTGCTCAATACACTGAACTACGGTGGCCACGAATGTAGAAGATTTACACGGATTGTAAACCATTGACTACAATACGTTAAAGTGGTATTATAGACAAACACAAAAAGCTGTGGGCTGATTTAGAAGCAAGCACTTCTAAAAATTAGAAAAGTAAGTTTTACGTAGCCTGGTGTGGCAATTTTAGCCCATTCTTCTCTAATTGAGGGCTCATCAAAGCGAGGTCGCGTTCAGACGTGCTGATGCTCTAGCGGTTATGAATAATAAATGATGTCCACGCATTCTGTCCATAGTGACTAATTAACAATTATTCCACGAGCGCGCGTTGGCTATGAGATGATAGATAGCCAACACCCGCGAATGGAATAATCGTTTCATTAAAAACGCCCCCAAGATATCAGACAAATCTTTATATTAGACAAAATTTTAGCTCCCTTTCAATTTTAAGCTGACGCGTACGTTTACCATATTTGTAGATAATGGTATATTGGCTCATATACCATGATGGCTAAGCCAATAAAAGTCTTGAATTGCATTATCCAATAATCCAGTTTTTAATAAAAGATGTTAGAGGGATATGATACAATAGAAAAACACAACAGGGACAGTGATAAACCAAGAAGGAACTAGGAAAGCCATACAAGGCACGTCTGAACCAGAATATTCAAGATAAACGACCCATCAAATAGGGCCTCAACAAACCCGTCGTGATTACCTTGAATAGAAACGTTATCTAAAAAGCAATTTTAGAAGAAGCGATCTCCTGCTTTCGTACCCAAGCCTCCTACGATCTGTGTTACAAAAAAAAAAAAAAAAAAAGAAAAGAAAAAAACGCCGACAGCAACAAAGAAGAAGAAAAAAAAAACTGTAGAACCCTGGTAAAAGATTATCATTCTACATGTACGTCCCATCAGAAGATCTCTGAGTGTAATATTACGTGATAAGAATTAGCAGTTCAAAGTGCATATAGCTACTACTGCTGCATCCCACATATTTACGAGTACTCTGTTCCACAAGAGAAAGATTATTCAAGAATATCGAGACTGATTGACTGATAACAAATAATCACATTAAAAATAGTAACAATAATACTAATGATAATAACAATAGTAATGATAACTTTTTTGAGGCAAGCTTAACAATCTCTCTGTTCGTCTATCGGGCTATCCTCTAGGCTCTAATTATAACAAAATAAGGCTTCTTTTTTATTTTGATGCAAAGCTATCTCTGCATCACGAGAATCACGAGAACAAATTCACGAAAACAGAATCACGAAAACAGAATCACGAAAACAAAATCACGAAAACAGAATCACGAAAACAGAATGCGACGAAAACAGAATCTCGTGCACTGATGACGTCATTGAAGGAATTTTTCCCTTTGAATTCGAGTCGATATTAGTGGAAAACATCAGGATTGCATGTAGCTCTGTTACTCGTTCTAAAATCCTGTTTTGTGACTTAAGTCAAACCTAGTGCATTCATATTTTATAACCTTGACCTTGAAGAGGAGGCAAAGCCGATGATATGCGACTCTATTTTGTTTACCGCTTGACAAACAGCGGTGGCGTAGCGGAGAAAAGATGTTTTGATATCAGTTTTCACAATAACATAAGAGCAGCAGATTTTAAATTGACAAACAGTTCCCCCTCTCCCCATCTGTCGGCTGTTTGTGCCGATAAAACATTTTCCTACCTTTTCTATTAAAAATTTAACTTACTACTTTATCAATTAAAACAAAATTGAAAAAAAAAATTGCAATCCAAAGTTAACCATCCATTCTGTGAAACAAAACGTTGTCATGCCCCATTTGCTTGCCTGTACCCCCATCCCCGCCACAGATATTGGCCTCCCTGTTTTCTGACGTTTACAAGCCGACAAAGAGCCCACCTTGAAGTTTTATAAAAAGCCCAGGGTTTAAAAATTGTCGATTGGATTTCACGACATCAAAATAAATCAAGAGAACGTTGATTAAATCCAAACACTTAAAACACTCCGTAAATAGCAATATACTTGAAATTAATCCTTTCAATTTACTGCCTGATGTGTCAGTTTAAATGGTTTCAATATTAACTAGTAGCGCTCTCTTGGCCATCTCATGACTCGAGTACTTTAAAAATTGACACAGTTCTGCAGTTAATTCTTACCTGTTTCAGTCGTCAACTGCGCTAAACTTCTTTGCTTCTTCGCAATCAGTTCTCTATGAGACTGTGATACTGTTTTGCTAGCGACTTTAAACTGGTTAATATTACTTTCCTGTTAAAAATAAAACCCAGCCAATTAATTTGATAATACCCGGACTCTGTCACACGTCTAGTAATTTATCTGAAGAGTACCCTTGAGTGAAATTCATGTTTCAATATTCTAGACACAAAAGTAAAGCCGCCTGATTACACAAGATAGCTACATTTTTGTGTGTAAGTGCTACAGTTTTTGACACAAATATTATAAAAAAAAAGAAAAACTTTCGCTTTTATCTTTGCGGACGCAAAAAGGCTGCAACAACGAGATATTGAGCAGGTCAATCATTCTAAAACGATTTCCTTAAAAGACACAACTTAGCCCGAAAGCTTGCTTTGTAATACAGATCTTACACTTTTTCGATTTCACCTTGATAACTCGAGAAGTAGGATTTCGAAGTTTACAAGTTTCATATCGCACCATCGTCAACTTACAATTTTAACCTAATTCCCAGTGGTCGATTGTAACCAAGTTAATATCAGTCCATTTGAGGACATCTTATTACGGAAATAAAGAGTAATTTTCAGTGCAATATAAAAAAATATGCAGAATTGTGACTGACCTCGGAAAACTCTTCAGTGAATTTCATATAATCCATACTGGTCACTCTTCTTGGAATGTACGCATCACGCTATGAGTTTTTCTAAGAAGCTCTAAGTTTCCGCCGCTTCTGTTTCTGGGAGAGATGTATCAGACTGTTGGTCCAATCATTCATCCGCGTCGCGTTACAAACGTTTCTCGCCCCCCTCCCCCCGCCCTAAGCTATTTCTGAGGGTAGGATAGGTTCCGCGCAAGCTCAAAAGAGCTGGTAACTAATTTCCACCATCTTGTCTGGCATCCTGTCTGTTGAAAACACTCATCACAAGAGCTGCAATCTACCAAGGAAATCACCAAACGTTTGCTGACTGAATTATCATGGAGGTGTGAGCAACCTTTAAAATTTTTTTTTACTTTGTTAGCTTGATGTTTGCTCTGCCGTCTGTGATCTATCAGCGCGTTATCAGAACTGCAGGTTGTGCAATCATGCGACGCGATGCGAAGCAGATCTCGTCACATAATACCAAGAAATCTTTGTTTATCTCGCCCATAAATCTCCAAACCCAATATTTTTGCATTTAACGTTTTTATATATCAACGTTTAAGTTCAAAAATAATATCTGCCCTTTATTTTTTCGTCGGAACATTTTTTCTCCAAATTTCAAGTATCTATCTGCTTCGTAGTTTGAACGATTTTTGGTTATTTTTTTTTTCCAATTGGCTACACCCAGTTGCAAAGGTTGTTCAATTTTTTGCTTCTTTTAGACATCAACTGAGCATGTAAAGATCAGAAGCACGAGGAAGATTTAGCTTTACCACATGATCAGCTGTTTTTGGTCGTTTTTGGTCGAGATAATGGAAACGTTCTTTTATAATCGTCAAAAAAACTTTGTCTTCAGTTGCTACAAATTGGTGTCATGTGAGGCACAAACCGCTATTAGTCAGGCCCCGGTCGTTCAAAGGTTAGATAACACTACCCAGTGGATAGCGCAGTACGTTTTGCTATCACGTATCGCTGGTTAGCGTTTTATCTTTTGGATAGCGTTTTCCACCCATAATACAACTGGGCCCAGTATAACTTAAGTTGAACATGGATATAGCTAGGGCTTCTACGAGTCAGCATTTATCAGCAGTGTTGTGGAACTCAGAAGGCTATCCAGATGTTCTTTATTCAATTGTAAATAATGCCTTTTTCATCGTGAAGGAGGGGGGAGGGATATGTGTGTCTAAGACCCTTCTTCCCTTCTGTAGCCATATCCTTGATGACAAAGTAAAGAGAGGGAAAAAAGAACTTATTGTTGTGGCTTACCTTGAGGAGCTGTACTTAACATTGATAAAAATACAAGGAGATATTTTCTAAAATTATATGAAAGAGGAAAAATTCACCCAGAAGGGCCAAGAAGAAAGCCTTACCCCTTCAAAAAAATCTAGTAGATCATAGATCAATTGAAAAGAAGTGACAGAATAGTGAATAAACAGTATGTACCTTGACACAGATCTGCTTGGTATTATTATTATTATTATTATTTTTTTTTGCTTGGTTTTGAGTGTCTGTGATGAGGACACTGCAGTAATACAACAATACAATTAGAATTAGAAACAGGATATCGTAATTTAGTATATACTAAAACAGTGGATAGTGTTGAAGGCGCACTCTGATTGGCTAGTCAAACTCCGAATATCCTCTGCTATTTACCTCCGAGCAACTCGGGAAAAAATGGCGTCCCGGTTTGCATCCGTGACAAGCGAAGAAATCACTCAAATCAATTTTCGGTGGTGTATATTACCTCACTGTTTTAGTATAATTATACTAAAACAACCATTCACCTCTGTGTCGGTGGTTAACGGTGGATATTTACCTCGCGGCTCGGTAAATATCCACCAGTAACCACCTCCACTTTGGTGAATAGTTGTTAACTGTGTGGAGGTGCAGTGGCCTCATGGTTAGTACGCTCCACTCTGGATCGAGTGGTCCGAGTTCGAGCCCTGGCCGGGACATTGTGTTGTGTTCTTAGGCAAGACACTTTACTCTCAGTGCCTCTCTCCACCCAGGTGTATAAATGGGTACTGGCAATTTAATGCTGGGGGTAACCCTGCGATGGACTGGCATCCCATCCAGGGGGGAGTAGAAATACTCCTAGTCGCTTCATGCTATGGAAACCGGAGTTAAGCATTGGCCTAATGGGCCACTAGGCTCGTAAACAGACTTTACCTTTACTTATTGTAATCTGTAGTCTTTCTACCAGATAAAGGGATACTAGAAATTTTATTTTATGAATACTGAAGTGTTTGTTTAACTTTTAAAGGTTGAAATTCTGGACATCAAAAGCCGAAGGGTCTTGTGCACCCTGAGTGAAGTATGACAGATGTTTATATTATGAAAAGTGATTTAAATGAAGTATGATACTGTACATTGCATTAAAACTGCTGAATTACTGGCATACCTTAGAAGTAATGTTTATTTTCAAGCAGACAGTTCACAATATTGTTATTTTCTCAGTTGTTTTAAGACTGCTTTCAGTTTGATCTGTAAAGAACACATACCCATACATGGTGTAAGCTTACAGCACTTCTTTGCGGTGTACTATGAATTTGTGCTCTAGGCTGACATGGAAACCCTTTCACTCTTTAAGATTGCATTTATAATTCTTTTTACTCTCCTCCATACAATTTGTATGATGTTCAGAGAATTTGGTACTGGATCAACAAATAATCCCTAAATAACAGTTTTCCTTATTCTCATTACTTGTCTGCTTGATATTGTATTGAAATTTTAAGGAGAAATTCTGTCTTGATCACTCCTGGTAGCAAAAGATTTAATAAGTAAAAACCAGTCACTGGTTGCTTTGTCTACAATATAGCTGACTCCTTCATCTACAATTGCCGATATCAAGGATGCATATCATAAGAAATGTGAGTGTGATGTATGTAAATTCAAACACGAGATCAGTCACAAACGTCTAGTTCTTTGTCGTTCTTTATTATCCTCAATTGTCCCATTCAGAGCTTCACACACGGAATACTCAGCCTATACTTACTCGACTCAAAACAACTGTGCCACCACAACAGTTAGGCTCGAAAAAACTTTAAATCAACTCCACAAAAGGACGAGAAGAGAAAGGCAAAGCAAAGAAAAGCAAAGCTTAAAATTTCATGACTGACTGCCAAAACTAAAAAACCACGTGACCAAAGAAAACAATGAAATACATTAAAATAATTACTATTGGCGGGAAAAGACATGACAGAGAGTAGCTCTGAATGTTCTTTAAATGCTGAAATTTAATAATATCAAGTGCATTTTATTTGAGTGTGTTGATTTTTGTTGTTGCCTGGGGTTTTTAATCATTTTGCATATAATAATAATTCAAGTGTTTGTGTTTTTATATGTTAGTGCGATTTGTCAGTAAGCTTAATTAAGCCTTCAATTGAAGATAAAGGTTTCATTTTACACCTAACAGATCATCCAAAGTTGCCATATTTGTTTGTTGCTTTTAAAAACTTTAAAAATATGAAAAATTGAGGTTCAAGAGACTGTTTTCTTTTTCAGTTCCCAAGTTTTATACTGAGAGGCAATCATTCCGTCTTGAGCCAAGTGAGTAGTTTTTCATTTCTTTTGCCATTAGAATTGCAAAAAGTTTGTAGTAACTCTACAGTTAAGTTAATATATTTTTGTTGTGTTTGAACAAAGGGGGAAAGTCATTAAAAGATGAGGAAACTTTAAGCTCCATGGAGATCAACAGTGGAGGCAAACTGTACTACAAAGACCTAGGTATATAACAGATTTTCAACTCAGTCATATCTTTCCTTCAGATGTTGTGAATTATGTCCATTTTCAAACAACAAACATATGAAATACATATATATGAACTGCGGTTATGAAATGTATATGTGCACGATCCTTCGCAGTAAAGCACTATTTAAGCAATAGTGAAAATCAGACCTGAAAAAAAATCAGGCCTGTACGGGATTCGAACCACTGACCTCTGCGATACTAGTGCAGCGCTCTACCAATTGAGCTAACAAGCCAACTGGGAGCAGGCCATCAAATTAATTCGACATAAACCCGTAGATGATAAATCAAACAACAAACATATGAAATACATATATATGAACTGCGGTTATGAAACGTATATGTGCACGATCCTTCGCAGTAAAGCACTATTTAAGCAATAGTGAAAATCAGACCTGAAAAAAATTCAGGCCTGTACGGGATTCGAACCACTGACCTCTGCGATACTAGTGCAGCGCTCTACCAATTGAGCTAACAAGCCAACTGGGAGCAGGCCATCAAATTAATTCGACATAAACCCGTAGATGATAAATCAAACAACAAACATATGAAATACATATATATGAACTGCGGTTATGAAACGTATATGTGCACGATCCTTCGCAGTAAAGCACTATTTAAGCAATAGTGAAAATCAGACCTGAAAAAAATTCAGGCCTGTACGGGATTCGAACCACTGACCTCTGCGATACTAGTGCAGCGCTCTACCAATTGAGCTAACATTTTGTGACTTGAATACTGTACCATTTTGTGACTTGAATAATGTACCATTAATTTTGTTCTTTTTGCAGGTCCACAAATTAGCTGGACAACAGTGAGTAACTAAGCCATCCATGAACCATCAGTGTTAGGATTGAGATATTGTCAAGACTGCTTGAACATTCCAATTGATTGAACTCTGACCATACTATTTCCACCTGAAGAAAAAAGCATTATGTTGATTTAATTTAATTTTTTACTTTAATTTGTCATTACAAGTTGAGTTACAAGTATATCTCATATCTAAATTTGGTTAGAATGTTGCATTGCCCATCAACCTGGAGAAAAAAAATCTTCACGTTATGATGAATGTCACATTCCACTGCAATTACTTTTATTATCAGGTGTTTCTGGTGGAATATGCTGGTCCCCTTATCGTCTACATGCTTCTTTACCTGCGACCTGCTATTGTGTATGGGGCTGGTGCAGCTGAGAAACCTTATGCACCTGTTGTACAGTAAGCATGTCTTAATGTTGTTTTGTACCTGATGGACTTTCTTTGTTGGATGTGCTCTGTTGTTATGTATTATTTTAGCTCATTCGACTCTTGTTCTCTTCTTGTAGCACCCATACATCCATGATTCCTTCAATTCCTATCTGATCTGTTTACCTGAGTATAAATTATATTCTTTCATTCATTTTTTATTTCTTTCTTTATTGATTCATTCATTGGCTGCTCATACATTCATTTTCTTTTCTTTTTTAGGTGGATTCTTATATTCTGACTTTTACCACCATTCATTCATTTTTCATTGATCCTTTCATTCGTTGTTTCCATTCACTGCTTCCTGTTATTCTTTCACTCACTCTTTCACTTTGTCTTTCATTTCTTCCTCTACTGTCTTTTAAATTCTTTTTCTTTCACATTATCTTTTTTTGTGTCTTGTTCATTCAACCATTCATTCTTGTTTTAATTTTTTCTTTTAATCTTTCATTCTTCCAATGTCCTTTTTCTTTATAAACTCAATAGTTACCTGTATTAAGACATCATCTTTTTACTCACACAGTATTGCAGCAGCTTGTTGGTCAGGACACTATGCAAAACGTTTGTTAGAGACAATTTTTGTTCACCGGTTTTCCAAAGCAACAATGCCATTGTTCAACATATTCAAGGTAAATACTATCAACTTTCAGCTATCCTTTGAGTAAAGAGAAGGGTGTCATCAATTGGGGGTGTAAGGTCTTTTACTGTTATACATACCTACATAGATGGTTTGGTTTAGTTCAAATGTGGTGGCTTATTTTAAGAGTTTAATTTTTTTTTCATTTTGTAGTTTGTATTTTGTATTTTCTAACTTGTTTTTGATATTTTTGCTTTTCCTCATGGTGATTGTGAAGAATTCTGGCTATTATTGGTAAGTCAGAGTATGACTATAATTCAAGAGCATGTCGCAATAACTATGATTTGTGTCAAGGGTTTTTTCTAGATTGCTTTCTAGTGTAATTATGAATTTTGACCAGTCAGTTTTTTAATCTTTTCCTAGGGGATATGGTGTCTTGGTTGGTTATTTTGTGAATCATCCATTGTATACTTCACCAAGTGAGTTAAATAATAATTTGAAATGGTTCTGTTGACATGATTATAATTTTAAATGTTTTTTTTTTCTTGTGCACATCCTGAACAAAGTAGCTTGCAGTCCTGAGATGTCTTTTTGCAGTTCTTTGATTTACATAGTGTGTGAATCTGTAACTCTTACAAGAAACAGAAAATTCCCATACTTCAAACATTGCTAATCACACCAGTCCCATAACAGCCATACTGACTCTTAGCACCAGAAAAATTTTTTTTTATGAATATCTGATTTGATATTAATTAAAGATGCAATTGAACCTCCAGTCCACAAAAAGGGCCTTCTGTGTGGACACCTGTGCTATAAGCAGACTGAAAATCTTGATCCAACCTCGTTAACTTACATGCTGCAAGTTCTGACAGTTAGAGTGTGTGTGAACAGAAGAATGTGTTGCCTGGCTTTGGGATTGATCAAAATGACTTTTTTATGCCTAAGGCATGCTCTGCTATCTAAAAACAGAATAATAGCAGGTGGATGCCAATGGGTTTGAATGCAGCAAAGCATTTGACTACATTGTGCACATTATTACATAATTTATGCAACAACTGAATTTTCTATGTGTATAATAGTTTATGGGGATGCCCAGATTTACACTGGACTAGCTATGTTCCTGGTGAGTGTTGCTCTCTCTTTTTAATCAAATTAATCTTTACTTTTTTTTTATAGCAGGATTGAGGAGTTACATGAAAAATCTGACAGTTCAAGATAATAAACTTTCTGAAATCTTTATAATGAGCAGGTTTACCTAAGTAATATTAATTAATATTCTCTCAAAAACCATCACGCTTGCATTCTCTTTCTTTTTTTTTCCTCATTCTTAGTTCAATGAGTATGGCAACTTTGTTATCCATTGTGCATTGCGGGATTTGAGGCCTGCAGGTAAGTTTGAAGTATGACAGGCTGCATAATTGCATTGCTGTAGAAATGTTCTTTGTATTCATAGGCATTGTTGTTTTTTTCCAAACTTTGAGTTTACTCAGTGCAAATGACACAACCCAAACTTTATCTCCCAATATCTGATTGGTTCAAAGAAACATTATAGCAGGCATGATTTAGCAAAGTGAGTGCCCAGTATAGGCCATTTTACAGTTGTGTACTTAGTTGCCAAGCCTTTGATTCAGAGTGAGGCTGAAGGTGACCTTGTTGTGATAGAGACCTGTATCTACTTAGCATGATAACAAAGTGATTTACATTATTTTGAAAGGCAGCAAGCTTTGTATCATAACAAGGTCAACCCTAGCCTCACTCCCATTCGAAGGCTTTGCAACCAAGCACACAACTGTAAAATGGACTATTCTTTAGTGAAAAATGGACACCATCTTGGATTTTAATGGCAGTGGAAGGGTGGGGAGAGAATGTGATTTTTACCAAGGGGGTGAGTGATGGTCAAAAATAAGGAGAGGAGCTGCAGTGGGGAACTGAATATTATGAGCTTAAAATCTTAACTTGCCCTAATAAGCCAACTGCACTGCAGGTTAAAGAAACAAGCAATTATTTTGTTTTGTCAAGCAAAAATAGCATGACCCTAGTCAAGAAGCTGCTAAATTACCAATAGACCTGTGAAGTCTTTAGACAATCATACATAGCTAAGTACAGACAACCTCTGGCCAGCAAATTTCTGAGTTCAACCTTTTTAATCCTTGTTAATCCTTAACACCCCAACATCAGTATGCATATTCTCCATACTGTTCTCTACTCATTTTCTAAGGTGCAGACAAGGAGAATTTGTTTAACAATCAAGACCCTCTTTAGTTAGTGGTCATTCCCTTTATTCCTGTGACCTTAAAGTTTTGTTCAGGGGTGATATTGTAAGGAAGAAATTATTAGATACTGGTCACTCCAAGGGATCAAAGGTTTAAAATTGTGTAAAGCTCTAATTTTTCCCATCTTCAAAAGTACCAGCTTGCCTACGGACTTCTCTAAGTATTACTTCAATTTGAACAAGGGAAGGATCTTGCCTCAGGGGTTTGGAGTACTTATTTTTGTTCACTTGTTACCATGCTACAGGTACTAAAGAGAGGAAAATACCTTACCCCACCTCTAACCCCTTCACAAAGTTGTTCAGATTTGTCTCCTGTCCAAACTATACTTACGAGGTGAGCACTTCAGAATTTTAAAATTAATGGGTCATTTTCGAATTACCCTTGGCCTCTTTTTGAAGATGAGCCCTGGCACTCAACCATTGTTATGAAAGAGAGATTAATTTGCATATGTGAAGGAAACCTTATCATGGCATGAAAGGATGAGCACCAGGACTCACTTTGAAAAGAGGCAAAAGGTAATTCGGAAATCGGTTATTTAACATGATTTTTTAAACTGGTGTGTAAATCTGTACTTGACAGTACATCATTGATGTAGATTTGTGATCGACGAAAACCAATCATGACTTCCCCTGTTTGACCTATGCCATGTGCACTTTATTTCATTAGTTCCTCGGGATTGTTTTCCTTTATAGAGGTTTTGTACAGCAGCCATGTGGCATGGCAGGAACAATAGATTACTCTTCCCATGGGAAAAAAATTTTCTTTCTTATGCAAAATATTTTCATTGTTCCTGCCATGCAACATGGCTGCCATGCAAAACCTCTATTCTGATTGGCCATTATGATTACCAGTACCTTGGGTTTGGTTACTCCCTAATATCAGTTTTCCTATTTCT